TGCATTATAGATGTTTGTTGGACAAATGAATGAATGACAAAGTGATCTCAGTGTTCCATTCTTAGCTCTAAATTTGTCTCTGCATCTAAGACTCAGTTCCTCTACTGTCCTTACAGAATTCTTTTTCTCCTGAAAGTGCCAAACCACTGAAGGCAGAAGTAATTTCCAAAAATTACATACCATGCCTAAGTAGAGGCACATGGAAGATGCTAGGCCTTGATAATCTCAATGTACTTTTTCCCCTAATACTTTAAAAATTTCGTTTGATTCTGTGCAACAGCCCATGATGCAAGGATTGAGGATGACTAATTAGATTTCCTGGAGAAACACAGGATATGCCTCCCATTACAATAAAGACTGATCAAGAGTGCTGCCTCTATGGCTAAGAATTGGAAATTGAAGCGATGCCCATCAATTGAGGAATGGCTGAACAAGCTGTGGAATATGATTATTATGGAATATAATTGTGCTATAAGAAATGACAAGCAGAATGATTTCAGAAAAACCAGGAAAGATATACATGAATTGATACAAAGTAAAGTGAGCAGAACCAGAAGAACATTGTACACAGTAACAGCAACATTGTACAATGAAGAACTGGGAATGACTTGACTATTCTCAACAAAATGATGCAAGACAATTCCAAAGGACTCATGATGAAAAATGCTGTCTGCCTCCAAATACTATCCTCTAGAGAAAGAACTGATGTTGTCTGAATACAGACTGAAGCTTGCTTTCTTTTTCTTTCTTTCTTTCTTTCTTTCTTTCTTTCTTTCTTTCTTTCTTTCTTTCTTTCTTTCTTTCTTTCTTTCTTTCTTTCTTTTTCTTCCTTCCTTCTTTCTTTCTTTCTTTTTCTTTCTTTCTTTCTTTCTTTCTTTCTTTCTTTCTTTCTCAAGTTTTCTTGCACAAAATGACTAACTTGGAAATGTTTTACATGATTGCACATATATAACCTATATCAGATTGCTTACCATCTGGGGGGAGGAAAGAGGAGGGGAAGGAGGGAGGAATAGAATTTGGTACTCAAAACTTAAAGAAAAGAATGTTAAAATTGCTTTTACATGTAATTAGAGGGAAATAAAATATTATTAAAATGTTTTCTATTAAAAAGAAAAAAGAATTCTACGTACATATGTTCCTATCAAGGTCAGCCTCACTGGACCACAAAGATATCCAGCAAAGGATTAGAGTGCTCCCATTTGTAGATACAGTAAGGATCTTTGGCATTTGATTTTCCCTACTCCTAAATCCTTCCATGATCAACTCTTCATGTTACAGAATCAGAAAATCTTATAGAGTTAGAAGGGACTGTGGATGTCTTCTTTTTAGGGCAGGTCTTCTTAAATTGGGTTCCATGAACTAAAAAGATTATGATGTAGCTGTATTTCAATAAAATTGGCTTCCATTGTAATCCTGGATCTATATTTATGCATTTGGAAACATGATTCTGAGAAGTGCTTTGTCAGCTCCACAAAAAAAGGTTAAGAACCATGAATCTAGAGTAACCCTCCGCTCACTTAGTACTTAAAAGGGACTGGGATGTAGAAGATACAGAGGAAAGAATACTGGACTTGGTATCAGGAGATCTGGGTTTGAAGCCAACTGAAATACAGGGATGGAAAAACCTTGTGAGCAAGACACACCTTCTCAAGGACTTCCAGATCCTCATCTGTAAAATGGGGATAAGCATGAAACTCCTCTACAATATCTAAATTATTTTGTTGAAATGAATTTTTGTGAATATTATCACATGGCTAGAAGTCACTCAGAAGGAGGTATCTAGCAGAGGTCTATGCTATTTAGCAATTTTATTGATGACTTAGGGCAGCTAGGTGGTAGAGTGGATAGAGCACTGGGCCTAGAATAAGGAAGACATCTTCCTGAATTCAAATCTGGCCTCAGACAGTTACTAGCTGTGTGACCCTAGGCAAATCACTCAACCCTGTTTGCCTCAGTTCCTCACCTGTAAAAAATGAGCTGGAGAAGGAAATGGCCTATCACTTCAAAATCTTTGCCAAGAAAACCCCAAATGGGGTCATGAACAGTTGGACATGACTAAAAGACTGAACAACTGATGACTTGGATGAAGGCAGAGATGGTATACTGATCAGATTTGCAGATGGCACAGTGCTTGGAAGACTAGCTAACATGCTGGATGATAAAGTTAGAATCCACAAAAGAGTTCAACAGTTTAGAACATTGGCCTGAGTCTGATAATATGAAATTCAAGTATGGATAAATGTAACTTCTTACACTTGGGTTCAAAAAATCAACCGTACAGATTCAAAATGGGAAAAACAAGACTAGGGGGTAGTTTAAAAAAAAGATCTAAGGGTTTGAATGAACTGGAAGCTCAACATAGGTCAACAGGTCTTCGGGTCTAGGATAATCAAGAAACTCTAACGTGATCCTGGGCTGCTTTAAAAGAGGCGCAGTGACCACACTGGGGAGATGACTGTACTCTTCACCACATCTGAAGCACCATGTTCAGTTCTGCATGCCTCATTCTACAAAGATCAGAATTTAGAAGAGGGCAATAGTCATGGTGAGTGGCCCTAAGATCATACCACAGGAGAACTGTCTGAAGGAACTAGGGGAGAGGGCTGTTAGCCTGGAGAAAAGAAGGCTTGGGGGCCTTTGATCAGTGCTTCCAAGTATCTGAAAGGCTGTCATATAGAAAGAGGAAATGCCATATAGAAAGACCCAGGGAGCAGAACCAGGGAAGGACAAAGAAGAAGGTACAAAGAAGAGTCTGGTGTATGGAAAAACTCCTTAACCATTAAAACTATCCAAATTGTAATGAGCTGCCTCAGGAAGCTCCCAGCTCTTCCTTGTCAGAAGTCTTCAAGCAAAGGCTAGATGGCCAAGCATTGAGTATGTTGCAGAGGTATTCTTGTTCAGGTATTGGTTAGACTTAGATGTTGCTGACATCCCTTCTCACTATGAAATTCTATGTGTAGAAATCCTAGGCTACAAGTCCTGAAAATGAAGCATCTTTTGCTGTTCAGTTGCCTTAGACTGTTTTCTGACTTTCTGTGATCTTGCTTGCAGTTTTCTTGGAAAAGATACTGGAATGGTGAGGCATACAGGGTGAAGTGACTTGCCCAGGGTCACAAAGCTAGTAAGTGTCTGAGGCAGGATTTGAACTCAAGAAAATGAATCTTTCTGACTCCATGACTGGCACTCTATCCACTGCACCATCTAGCTGCCCAAAAGCATCTTAGCAGTGAATTATCAAAGAAAAGACAGCTTAGAACTCAACCAAACAGGTCTCCCATGGGGTGTTTGGGTAGGATTTTATTTAGATGGTCAAGACATTTGAAGTGGGAAGAAGTGAGAAAACTGAAGGGCAACCACAAAAGGAGAGCAGGAGAGCATGACTCAGCCCTCCTACCCCCACCCACACTGTAACCAGCATATAACCTGAAAAACAGTGACTGAGCTGGGGACCAGAGTCAGAGAACTGTGCTTTTATATTATATTCACTTGATACAGTAACCCATTGTTACCAGAACAAAGTCCCATTACTAAAGTCCAGCTAAAGGACAGAGCAATTACTCTACTATAAAGAAGACTTCTTTGGAAGAGTATTCACTGTGATTTGAATCTATACTGCCTGTCACTGGATTTCTTCACTGCCAATAGACTGCTAACAGAAGTTGCCTTTGGATGCCTTTCTGGATTTGGTTAAGGCAATCTGTCATGGGGATTTCACTAAGGTCTATTCACAAGGCCAAGAGAAGAGATATGAAACTCAGGATAAATAATACCTGTACTATCTAGCTGACTAGATCATTGTGAGAACTAACTGGGATGATGTATGTAATAGTGCTCTGTGAAAAGAACTGCAGAAATGCCTCAGTTTCCTCACTTCAGCAACTCTTCATTTCCCACCAGCTCTACTCCTTGGACTAGACGTCATCAAGCCCCTGAGCTGGTTACTTCCCCCCTCCCCTCCCTTTTCAACTTCTTTTTGTGTATTGTTTTCCTCTCTTAGATTGTAAGCTCCCGGAGGGTAAGGTCTATCTTTCTTTTTCTCATTTTTATCTCCAGTGCTTAGCATAGTTGGTAGGCAACTTAATAAATGTTTATTTGCTGAATAACTGACCTGTAGTATGGGAATAAAAATACCATCTTGATTTACCTCACACGGTTGTTGTAAGGTCCAGATGGGATAATTTATGTAGATTGCTTTGCACACTTTAAAGCACTATATAAATATCAATGGTTATTGTTACTGCTATAATTATATAGTTATTGTTGTTATCATCATGATCAGTCCATAGCTACACTGCTGTTGCCCCAGGCAACTAATTCTTTCCTGGCTCTTCTGAAATGCCCAATTCTCTTCTTCTTGAAGCTCTAAAGCAGCCTTTGACAATAAGGCAGACAGAAATTTATTCTCAACATAATTAAGCTCAGGCAGTAAGGACAGGTGTGGGAGGAATCTGAGTGAAGAGTATTCCTTATGTAATACAAGGAAAGAGACTATGTTAGGCTTTGGAAGATAGGAGGATGCAAGGCAAGGAGGGAACAGCAGAAAGGGCTTGGGATTTGAAGTGAGAGAATTTGGGATCAAATCCCAGCTCTACTATTTTGTGCAGAGTGTGACTTTGGGGAAATTACAGCCTCTCTGGGCCTCACTTTCCTTACCTGTAAAATGAAGGATCTGGGTCCTTTGATCTCTAAGGTCTCTTCCAGTACTAAATCTATGATGTTAAACACTGGAAGATGCGAAGATGAGGGACGATCTCAAACTTAGATACAAGGGGAACCAGAGAGGCCCATTCAGCTTGATGGAGCAGTATTAAGAGAACACAGTGGAACCATGAGGTTGGGGGGAAGGGGCAAAAGTTTGGAAGGGGCTAGAAGATGCTCTGTTGGACAGACTGAAGGGAATGTACTTGGGGAAGCAGCGAACCCATACAGCCCTAGGACAGGCGACCTTTTGGGCCCAGGGAGACAATGCTAGAGATCAGGGGATGGGGGGGGATTCTCACCCTTCTTAAACTCCTCCAGCACCATGTCCAGCCGAGTGTCATTGAAGACGCAGTGAAGGGGCCGGTTGTAGAAGCGAGTGACAGTAAGGAGTGGGGTACAGTCGTCAGGGTCTACAAAAGCCAAGTCCTTAACAAATAGGATGTCCACGATGTTGTGCCTCTGGTCGCCTTCATACACTGGGATGCGCGTGTAGCCGCTTCGCAGGATCTCGGAGACGGTGGAGAAATCTAGCACGGCATCCGAGCGGAGCATGAAACAGTCCCCCAGAGGGGTCAGCACCTCCTCCACCACCTTGGTCCGCAGCTCCAGGGCGCCCTGGATCATGTTCAACTCTTCCTTGACCAAATCGTTGTAAGGGTCTGCGGCCCTCAGCGTCTCCAGTAGTTTCTCTCGGGTGTAGAAGGTGCTGATCTCCTGGCGCAGTGCCCAGTCCAGCAAGCGGCCGAGCGGATAGCACACCGGGAAGGCAACAGCCATTAAGAGCCGGGTCAGGCAGACACTGTGGGAAGCGATGGCCAGCCCGTGACGGGAACACACGGAGTACGGGCAGATCTCGGCGCCCAGAAACACTGCGCCGGTGCACAGCAGCGTGGGCAGCCAGGGAAAGTGACTTCCCCCCGCCCCAGTCTTCTTCCCCTTCATCCCCGACACTCGGAGGCAGCGAGGTGCACAGCCAGCCAGCCAGGGCTGCGTTGGCTCCGGCCTGCCCCAGTAGCAGGGTGCACAGCAGATGCGTCCCGCGGCCCCGCACCGCCTGCACCCGGCGCGCCTGCTCCTGCTCAGCCGCCGAGCCGCTGTTCCTCAGCACCCGTAACTCCACCGGGTCCAGAGAGAGTAGGCTCAGGCGCAGGCCGCTGAAGAGGGCCGACAAGGCAAGCAGCAGGACTGCCCCTAAAGCCCGCAGCCAGACCGGGGGCAGCAGCTCCCCGCCCGGGCCATACAGCCTCGGCCTGACTCGCAGCAGAAAGCCGCCAGCCGCGCCGTGGTGGTGCCAAGCGCGCCCGTCCCAGGCGCACAACGAAAAGAGCTTCCCGCGGCCTCCTGAGCTGGCCCCCTCCGCCTCCCCCTTGCGCAGCTCTCGCACCCGCACCTCGACCAGAGCCGAGCCTGCTGCGCCGCCCGGCCGCAGCGGACCCAGGACCTCCACGTCCGATGCCCAGCCGCTCTGCTCGCGGCACCTCTGAGGCCCCGGGGGTCGGCTCGGGAGGGCGCTGGGGGGCCACGACACCACTTCCGGGGGGCTCTTCGATAAACACGAGCCTCGGGGCCCAGTCGCTGGTGTCATTCTCCCCCGAGAAGCGGGTCGGGGCAGGGAGCAGCGCCGCGCTCGTCGCTGCGCCCGGCTGAAAATAGACCCGCAATAGAAAACTGGTCCCCTCGGCAGCGCGCAGGGTGCCCCCCTCCAGGGAGACGCGGCCTCCCGCGGTGTCCTCGGGCCTCAGCCCCAGCAGCCAAGCGGCTGAGGCCGGAGGTTGAGGGGACAGGGAGAAAAACAACAAGAACACTGCACCCCGGCTGCAGCAGCACCGAAGACTGGCACCAGCCACCACTGCCGCCGCCGCCGCCGCCGCCGCCGCCGCCGCCATCCTGCACCCGGCCCGGGCGCACGTGATACTGCAGTGAGGGGAGCACCGACCGGGAGGAGGAGCCGGGAGCTGGGAACCCGGCCCCAAACGGGTCACCACGTGTGCGCTTCTCTGGTAGGAGGCGGTGGTGGCCTCCTCCCCGACCCCCCTCCCCCGGGGCGATGCCCAAGTCCACCTGGCACAGCTTCAAGGGTGGTCTCTGCACTGCTTGTGGGCGCCGATCTCCGTGGACCAAGTAGGGGCCACCCCAAAAGCGAAAGGTAGTTGAATGTGCAACCTAGTGTAAAGAGTGTGTGTGTGTGTGTGTGTGTGTGTGTGTGTGTGTGTGTGTGTGTGTGTGTGTGTGTTAGAATTGTCTGAGGTATTTGTTCAGCCCCTGGCCTCTCTGAAAACAACTAGACCAAGTGAAGTGACCAGTCAGGCAAACTTGTTCATTCCAACTTGTTCATTCCTTCTGATAACGGCCTGAAATAACTAAACTGGCCCTTTATCCCTCCTGCTGCTTTCACCGTCAGCTCAGCCAAGTGCATCCTACAGCTTTCTTTTGGCAAATTAAATTGTTTTGCATTTTGCCTCGTTTGAGATCAACCCATCAGCCGCATTCCTTCCCATATTTGCAAGAGATTCTGGGAATAATAATTCGCATTTTGGGTGCAAACTGTGGTACTTGGGCTAGACTCTTCAAATAGTCTTTCACGTTCATTGTTTAAAATTACTTGAAGAGTATGACCTTGCTTTTCCTACATAAATAGAAATGCATACTAATCAGCTGTCTTATCTGTTAGTTTCTCTCCTTTTTATCACTTTTCCCATCAGTAGTGAAAACTGATTCTCCTCACCTTTGTAACTAGATGGAAGTCAGGTATCTGGCTTCAATTCTCTCTCACCAGAGAGAAGCGAACATTAAAAAAATAATTTATTGAAATCTTTTGTTCTTACCTTTTGTTTCTGAATATAACCTTCCTTCATCCTCTACTTCAAAAATAAAGAGGGGAGGGGAGAGCAATTCATTAAAATTAAGCAACAATTTCCATACTGGGCTCTGTGTGGGGAACTTGACAGCCTTAAAACAGAGGGGAGCCAGGTCCCAAACACAACTCCTGCACGTTTTGGATAGGAGGCAGAAGGCAGGCCAAATCTGAGAGGGGCCCATTGGTAGCTCAGCATTACTATTTGAAAGGTAAAGGAAAAGGAGATTTTGGGGCAGAGGCATGCACAATGACCCTTTCTTTCCCCCAACTCATCTCCACCTCCATCTCCAAAAGGAAAAGGCACCTGAAATTCAAGGCATTCTCTCATCCTTCCAACATCCATGGCCTTGACTAAGGGATTAAAGACAAGATCTCTCACAATCTCAGATCACAATCTCAGAATTTTCTTTATTTTAAAATAATATTTTATTTTTTCTTCCAATTACACATTAAAACAATTTTTGAAAACTTTTTTTCAAGTTTTGAGTTCCAAATTCTGTCCTTCCCTTCTGTCCTTCTCCTTCCCTGAGACAGTAAGCAATCCCATATAGCTTATATGTGTAATCATGTCAGACATTTCTATATTAGTCATTTTGTACAAGAATTGCATAAAAAAAGAAATGAATGAAAGAAAGTAAAAAATAGCATGCTTCAGTCTGTAGTCAGACAATATCAACGCTTTCTCTGGAGGTGGATAGTATGCTTGAGAATCTTCTTTAAAAAGAAAACTTGTATCTGTTTTTAAGTGAACAATGGAAAAAACTGAAGTGTGCTTTCTGATAGTAAAGAGGGATCAAATACCTTTTCCTTTGTCTAAGTCCTAGAAGGTTCCTGAGTTTCCAATGAACTGATGTAACTGAGAACACTCCAGGGATATGGTGAGAGTGAACATGCTACAAAAAAAGATATGCAATACACTTCTGGCTTACTATGGGAGCATGCAATATGTGATGGAGGATAAATTGGCAGATTTATCGTCAAGCTGGAGTGAATATCTGTCCCCTATCTAGCTCCTGGACTATGGTGAAAATGAAAGTTCAAATATTTGGAACCTTAGAGAATGATACTGTCTGAGTTGAAAGTACCACCCTTCCTTGTATCTTGTATTACATATTTTATATTCAATTTCATTTCACTCATTTATTAAGCACCTACTGTATGCTGAACACTGTGCTAGGTAACATGGTATGGAGACAAAAATAGTTTGGCAGGCCTTGTTACTAAATCCAAATCAGGGAAAGTTGAAGCCTCTAGCTTGACCTGAGTGGGTGCAGAGGGAAACCCAAGGCTGAGTCATATTATGTAGGTCATCAAAGGGCAAACTGGTAGAAGTGATGGACTGGAACTCAAAATTGGTATGGCATTTAAAGCATATCTGCTGTTCTCCTCTCTGACTTCTCACTTTTTTTTGGTGGAGGGGGGGAGCAGCAAGAAGGATGGGACCTATTACCATAAGTCAACTGCTTGGGTTACCAAGAAGCCTGGTGATGATACTAGCTAGCAAAGTACCTCACAAATATTATTTTATTTTATCCTCACAATAAACCCTGGAAGGTGGTTGCTAATATTATCCCCATTTTACAGATGAAGAAACTGAGGCAGACAGGGTAAGTGACTTGTCAAAGGTCCCACAGTTAGTATCAGACAGAATGGGAACTCAGCTCTTTCTGATTTTACATGCTAAATCCAAAACACAAAAACAAACCAAAAAAATAGTGCTTAGCATTTCAGTATGGAAGCTTAGGGATTTTAGGCTCATGATGAAAATAACACATAAACTACTTCAAGAACTCACAATATCACCAGTGTGGGTACACACGCTCTGCACCTAAGCAGAGAGAAGTCTGTAACCTCTGTAAATGGCCATGAGGCTTTGTGAGTTTCTGTGACCAAAAAATTTTACCATCCATTGACCAACCCTCTGATGGTGAAAGTAAAAATTATTCATATTTCCATGGTGGTAACATGTGAAGTAAAAAGTGCAAAATACCAGCATCCTCATTTTTATAGGTGAGGAAACTGAGGCTTAGAGAGGTTAGTGACTGTCCAGTGTTTAGCACATTGCCTGGCACGTGGTAGGTTTTTAATATATATTTCTTGATTGATTGATTTCTCACAGCCATGACTAATAATTGTGCCAGGTGGCACTCACTCAGTTCTTCTGACACCAAACCCAGTGGTCTTTCCTAGGCAATAATGGTCTAGTCATGTGACATTTTGTCACTTGTCACTGCCTGGGCATTACAAAGATGTGTATCTTTTGCCCAAAGATAGATACTTGGATACTTCTAAATAGGGGAAATGGGGAGTAAGAGGGATGAGGAGGCAGAAGGCTGGGCCCAACCTGGCTACTAGCCAATCAATTCATTGAGTGTATGGTCCAAATAAAGCTTTGCAGGGTGCCAGGCTAGAACTGAATAAAGAAAAGGCTAGAGATGGGAGGTCAGATAGCCTCTAGCCAATTGCTAGGGGAAGTGCATGGAATTGCATTTAATAGGAATAAGACAGAAAATCTCAGGGTCACCGATGTGGTAGCTGAACAGGAATTGATTGTCCTGGAGCTAGTCCCCATGACCATCCAGTCTCCAGGAGGATAATCTTAGGAAAAGAAGAAAATTTAGTGTAGTCATAGGCTAGGGGTGGGGATTCCAATGGTTCTCATTTAGGGGAAGGATTCAGGCTGATTTTGCAGGAAGATTTGTTCAGGAAACCGAATGTAGTTTTAATTGTTTAAGCAAATGAAAAGAGCACCTGTGTACTACATCTGTGAAAGGGGTTCGGTCTCTCACTTTAGATGCCGGCACCTAGTCATAAAGGAATAGCAAGAGGGTCCCTTAGTAACCCCTTTCTCCAACATCCTGTCTCAAATGTGTTAATTAAATTTGCAGATGACACTCAATTAGGCCATGTACAAGTGCCAATAAAACCCAAGTGAAAAAAATTTTTTTTTAAGATTAGAAATATGGGAAAGAAAATGATACTGAACTTGGGAAAAAATGTACACAGGCATCTAGGGGAAAATAATCATTAAGGCAAATTTTCATTGGGAGGGCAACACCTGGAAAAGAGTAATGCCTGAAAGAGGCCCTCTGGGTGCTGCTAAGCAGCAAATTAGATACACGTCTACAGCAGAATCTTGCAAGAAAATTATGACTGCAGCAGACCAGCCTCATGTCACAAAGTATGGAGATGACCGCCCTCTCTGTGGAGTCCTAGGGAGACAGCACCTGGAGGACTGTGCTCCATTTTGGACACCTCATTACCAGAAAAACACCGATAAACAGGAGAGAATTTGGAGAAGAGTCACAAGAACAATTTAAAGCTGGTTGACATGGTTCAACAAAATAAAAGCAAAGGAGGGAAGGGAGTCAGAGGTAGAAAAGGACAGTTGTATTTAGGTCATAAATAGGGGAGGAAATGGAAAGGGTATTTTTGTTCATGATTTTTAAAGGTCTTTTCTCCCACTGCAGTTTCAGCACCTGCGTGGCTGACAGGACAATTAGAGCTGCTTTCTGTCCATTATCTCATTTGATTATCCCAGTAGCCCTGGGAAGCCCATAGCCCAGGGAACTAAAGCTCAGGTTAAGTGACTTCCCTAAGGTGGCATAGTCAATACGGGAGCCAGGACTTGAATTCAGAGCTATAATTAGGAATTTTGGCACTTGGGGCAAAGTTAGTTGATGAAGGGAGAAGGGATAGATTAGAAACTGTGGTCATGAAAGTTGGAAACGCTGAGGAAATGGATGGAAAGGAAGTTGGAAGGGCTGAGTTTTGGATGTTCAAAGGAGACAGGGGTCCAAAGTAGATAAGAAAACCATGAGCCGCGTGCTTGAGGAGGAGGATGGTAACCAGGGGGACCAGAGAAAAGGATGAAGATCTAGACAGAATGGAGTGAACTTTAAGGGAGAGGAGGACATTGTTGAGGGGTGGTGGCAGGGAGCATCTGCAAGAGCTTATCCCATAAGAGGGTGTGAGAGAAAGAACAGTCTTGGAGAGGGTTCAATGACATATTGGCCTTCAGGAGAGAGCTAGTGAGAGGAAGAGATGATGGGGGACAGAGAGCTAGGGATTTTTGAAGCCATCTCAGCCAACTCTAGAAGTCATTAAGTCCAACTCTTTCATTTTGCAGATGAGGAAACTGACACCCAAAGAGGTGACTTGCCCAAGGTCACACAGGCAGTAAGCTTCAGAGGCAGGATTTTAATCCAGGCAAGCTGAGTTTGATGACCATAGAAGATGGGGCAGAGGATACAGTGGAAATGCAAGGCAGAAATGCATAAGACTTTGAGGGGAATTTACTACTGAGGGGGTGGGGAGAAGGGATCTTCCCCATTACCACTTATCTCATGCTGGGTCCAGTTCTTCCTCATGGTGGAGGTCCCTACTCCAAGTGATACATCAGAAGCAGCCTGTCCTAGTGGGAAGGCTGGCCCCAGGGGAAGGGTGGGATACCCATGGAACCCTGAGGGATGGCAGCCCACAGCTGGTTTAGGAAACAGCCTGAGGCTAGCTGGCACTCTACCAGGGAGAGGAAGCCCACACCCCATTCTGAATGGCAGCAACTGGGGCAAAGCCCCCACTACCCTCTGCTAGTTCTGGCTTTGCTTCACCCACCATCTGACTCTAAGACAAATGTTCTTTCCACTGAAGCATTCAAAATTAGTTGTTTTTGTTTTGGTTTGTTTTTGTGAGGTTTTTTTGAGGTATAGTCAGGCAGATGCTTCGACCCAAGGAAAAATTCTTTTTAAAAAATTTAATAGCTTCGATATTTTAATTGTTTTTATTATTTCAAAAAAAAAAATGAAGCTTAGAACTGGATTATTTGGCTCCTGTCTCTTCATGTCTCCTCTCAGCACAGAATGCCCACATC